CGAGCGGAAAATCACGACCCCCCCCCATGTGTTCACACAAGATACTGTACCCTGTCTGCTCATGCCACGCGCGGCGAGTCGCGCGGCAATTTCAGAGTCGCACTACCGTATCCAACAAATTGTGGTTGTCGCAAAGGATGCTCTTGTTCACGGCGCGATGCCCAAAGTAGCAATGAGATGGATTTCGGTAACAATCTGAACGAGCCATAGGACAACATAGTTCGTACACAAAGGCTGCCTGTAAGCAAACCACGCTCATCACCCGTGATAGTATCGCCACATACCTTCTTCCTCCTCCCCCGCACCACCCCACCCCAACACTCCTCGTCGCTTAAAATTTCCACGTCATCATATCTACTCGTTTCTCCCTTCGACCTGAATTCTCCTGACCCCATGATACCGTATTCGTTTTGGACATTCGTGTAACGAACCGAAGGGCCCGTACGGACCATATTGATCATATGTATTGAAATATTCGTAATAGGGCACATCATTGGTTGGGGATTTTAGTCGAGTCTGTACGACCCCCCCCCCCCCTTTACAACGTCCGTGAAGCGAGAAAAATCAACTATCAAAATAAATTTTTCTCAGCCCAAATACGACCCCCCTCTCCTGGCGGCCTAAATGCGAACCCCCGCCTTATTGAGGATTTTCCGCTAAGGAACGATGTGCCGCCGATTGCGTAACATGTGCGGCATTTAACATAAAGAGTTTCACATGTACGGTTCAAAGTTCCCTGTACCTAGAAGACCGTAGCGATTGTCAAGAAACTAGACAGCCTATCGCTTAGACGCTTGTCGAGAGAGAATATTGAGATGTGACTAGTAATTAATGGACCTTTTCCCAAGGCTTCTGTATTTATTAGGCCGCTTTTGCTGCACATACAGTTTAAGATGAAGAATAATGTTGAAGAATCGCTCTACCGACGCCAAGTGCCACACACCACAGCAACAAACACGGATGCTGTATAGCCGGGAAACGATCGAAGGTAAAATAACGAAACAAGACTACAATTCGACAGGACGAAAAACTGATGGAGTAGAAGTGGAGCTTCCGGATAGAAAAATGCCTGCAAGCACAGGAATTCTGACCCAAATGCACAATAAACACAATACGCGAAATCTCACAATGCATCCAAATCCACCATATGCCGTGACCAATCCTGGCAAATATTCGTATATGATCTTATCCTCGTCCATTTCCAGACTCTTCAGCAGATCACTTGAGAAAAAAAGGGCACTCAGAAGCAAGGAAAACCAGATATTCAGAAAATGTTTTGGCAGTGTTCCCACCCTTTGGTATGTGAGAAACCAACATATATCACGTGAGCGCGCAAAATCAATGCCCACAACACTGTACGCAGACTAACAAAGGTGTCGAAATCGCATAACGAAGAATTCTTTTCCAAATAATTGCGGCAACATCGCAGCGCTTGTTAGGATATTTACGAAAGACACAGTCCTATGTGGTCGTATGGGCCGAGTTGATCCCACGCTTGTGCCGCCCTTATGATAGTCTCAGTTAGGGTTTCGATGAGTAAGGCGGGCCTGACTCCACTAAACTATCAGTGCAGGCTACTTCTCGAACAAGCAACCATATAGGTGATTCAATGAGCCAGCTAGTGGATCGAGTCCGCAAAGGAAAGCGATTCATTCCAATTTCTGTAGCCGAGTCGGTCTTGATGCCTTCCCCTACTGCTTTATCTCCACCGCTGATTGTGAGTTAAGATGCAGTCCACGCTACTCGTGCGGGCGGAGTCGGGCTCCTTGTAGTCTGGTCCCCCATTACTCGCTAGTTATTGTTTTGAGACTGGAAAAGAAGGAACTAATGAGACGGAATGGTCTGTTGGCCTTCACAGGAAGTTGTGCAATGAAAGTAGCTACGCCCATATCCACCATTCCGATTGAGTGTAGCGTGAATGGCGCGCTCCATTTAATGTTGAGTACTTCATCGCAGTTTCCACCGTCAAATCTAGTTAAAGGAACACTACTAGAAGACTCGCTCCTGACAAGCGAATAGAATCAACAAACAGGACATATGTAACCAAAGTTGTACAAGACGTCGACAGTCCCAAAGTGCGAGAAGTAACATGGAAAACGATACAACAGCCAGTACAATCATTGCGCTAAAGGCGTTTATCTGAAAAAAAACTGGTCAGGATTTTGCAGTTTATCCGCTAACAATAAGTTCTCTTTCATACGAATGAAGGAGATTGATCAGTGGTTAAAGGCATCTCACTGCGCTCAGAAGGAGTTAGAGAGTGGTCCAAGGATGGCACATTATTAGAGTCCCTCTGCGGTACTCTAGTACACGTTACACGCTCTAACGTTTCCCTGAAGTCATGACTCGTACTTCTTTCTGTCCCGAACTAGCAATAGTACCGTGCCAATGCAACCCCAGCTGAGATAGGCGTCCCTCACTGCCAATGAAGCAGACGCAGGCAAGTGGTGCTAGAGATGCCTTTAGCCTTTGTGCTACCTATAAAGGGTAGTGAGTCCACGATGAATTTGAACACTCACAATTCCATCGTGGTACTGATTTCCTGTGGTGCTGTTGCCGCTCATTAAAAACATTGCCGATAGTCGTTCATCCGTCTTCATTTCGTACACATAAATCCATGCCGTCAACGTCATTGCCATATTGAGCATTACCGGGCGTAATAGCTTCGACACCTACAAAAGCCATTTTTAGAGCGTCTTCTTAGGGCGACTGATTATGGGGCCAAAGCTTGATTCTTTCGCATCAAATCATTTGGAATCTGGTGTGATCGTCTACGGGACGCTATACGCAAACGTAGCGCCGCCGCAGACAGAGAGCTTCCTGACTGAGATCGTACGCCTAATACCCGGATTTCGAAGACTGTGCTCACATTAAAGTCAATCAGTGTTTTGGAAGGCGCTGTTTCCCTCTCCGCTCCATCACGGTTTCAGCCTCCATCACCTTTCAGCTCGTTACACAGCCCCACCAGTTTGCGACATATCACTTGCGATTGCATTCATACTGCTACACTCACAGACCAATACAACCTACAGTCTAGTTCGCTGCGGACGAAGAGGCGTGTCAGAGATGAGTTTGGCGCGGTGCCAAACCCGTTCTCCACCAGTTGTTGAAGCGAGCAAGTGACAAGACTGTATCATATCGTTCGCATCACTCGTTTTCTACCAGTTGTTGTCGCATACCCGCTTTAACGACTGGCAGAGTGACACGCCCCTTTATCCGCAGCGAACTTGAATATAGAGAGCTGAGTTTTGAAGCGGTGCCAACCCGTCTTCCACCTTTTGTTGAAGGTGAAGCGAGCACGCGACAACAGTTGGTGGAAAATCGGCCGGTACCGCGCTAAATCCAGCTTCGTGGCACGCCCCAGCGTCTGTAGCGAAATTTGCTATAACAATTTACTCACCTCGCTGAACTGCGATACCAGCCGACATAAGAACCGGTCGCATTGGCACGTACGACGCATCCTCTGAATAAGAAAAACCTCGCGATACCAACTAAAACTTTTTCCTGAAACTTCAATAATCCTGTAAAAATTTGACAAGTTACGGAACTGTAGCTTTCCAAAGAAGGTAGAGCAGATCTACAATCGTGGGGACCATAGATAAAGCTCAGCAACGCTAGATAACTAGAAGGTATGAAGACGTTAACTAATACCACATACCTCAATTCGATCAGCCTGCCAAACGAGATTACCACCATCTTATCATATCTCCCCAAAATCAAAACACTTTCCACGTGGCCAACCGCTTCAACAGTCAACACAGGAGATTACTGGTGCGGATTTACCTGACCGGTGTATAGTGCTTTCCCTGGAGGTTAATGTCCTAAAATGAAGCAGTTGCTAGCTTGACGTCGAAAGACTGCAGCGGGGATGCGCCATGCATCTGACACCAATCTCAATCCGAGAAACACTCGAATGTGTGGTTCGTACAAGCTGGAAAACAAAACAAATCGATATCACTTTTCACTTTGATCAAGGTGCAGTCATGATCCCTGCAAACGATAGATCGTGTGATACGGGCATGGCTGAGCGCAGTTTGAGCAGGTTTCTCAGCAGCTGTATCGGGCTCAGGATGGCATCATTGGTGGAAGGAAGGCCCTCAGGCTGCCTGCAATCCGCGCTGCCCTGTCGTTTGCATGGATCATGACCGTAGAATATCTTGAGAGACGGTTAGGACTAGCGAAGGGAAAAAACGTGGGCAAACGCTGCATGCGAACTACTGCTTGCTAGTGCCGGGATCTTGTACTTTTGGGCATGATCCTGTTGCGAAATCATGTAGCGCAAAAAACGCAAACAGCAAGAGGATAGCTGCTAC